CCTCCCATAGTTACAAATGTTTTTTTCTTGTGATGAGATCTACTCTCTTAGCAACTTTCAAATATACAATACAGTATTGTTAACTATAGTCACCATGCTGTACATTATATCCCCAGAATTTACTAGTTTTATAACTGGAAGTTTGTACCTTTTGACCACATTCCTCCATTTCACCCACTCCCCACCCCCTGCCTCTGGTAACCACCAATCTGTTCTCTGTTTCTATGAGTTTGTTTTTTTTACATTTCACATATAAGTAAGATGATATAGTATTTGTCTTTCTCTGTCTGACGTATTTCACTTAGCATAATGCCCTCAAGGTCCATCCATGTTGTTGCAAATGGCAGGATTTCCTTCTTTTTTATGGCTGAAAAATATTACATATACACACACACACACACACACAGACACATATATATATGTATGTATACACACCACATCTTCTTTATCCATTCATCCATTGATGGACACTTAGATTATTTCCATGTCTTGGCTATTGTAAATAATGCTGCAGTGAACATGGGGGTACAGATATATCTTCAAGGCAGTGATGTTGTTTCCTTAGGATGTATACCCAGAAGTGGACTTGCTGGATCATATGGTAGTTCTATTTTTAATTTTTTGAGGAATCTCCATACTGTTTTCCATAGTGGCTGCACCAATATCCCACCAGCAGTGGACAAGCGTTCCCTTTTCTCCACGTCCTTACCAGCACTTGTTATTGCTTGTAATAATCTTATCTTAATGTTTATTTTTGTACTATTAAAGACACTTACGCTTCAGTGACTACATGATTTGCCAATTTTAAATGATATCCTTTGAACTCTCAGGTATTACAGATGAAGCAATCAACAAACATATCCTATATCCCACCTTCTTCCAACCCCAATTTTGATTAGAGTGTCATTTCTACATCACTGTACAACATTTACATTCTCTTTTATCACCCTAATCGCCATGGTAGTTTTAGTCTTGTTCTAAAGTTAAATGTATCAAGTGTTCATCCCCAATCCCTTTGCTTTAGAATTCCCTTTATCTCTTGGTTGACTGAATTCACGTCCTAATAGTTTCCTCAAGAGGGGCTCATAGGAACAGTATTCCGTGAATTTGTGTGTATTCAGAGCTGTTTGCCTGTAAACTTTATACTTGAAGGACAGTTTTGTTGGACATAAAATCCTTGGCATACGTCTTCTTTTCTTGCCTGTCCTGTAGCTGTTGCTGCCCTGTCTGCCAATGTTGAACGTTACTGTAGAGAAATCTGAGACCAGTTGATTTTCTTCCCCGACATAAGTGATTTGATCTTTTTGCCTTGTTGTCACCTGTCTTGTTATTAACCACCCTGGGTTAGTTTTCCTTGGCACACAGTGTACGTTTCAAGGGTTCTGATGTCTTTATAGATTATACTTGAAGTATTTGTTCTTTTCCTCTGGTTTAGTTTCCTTTTTTGAGAACTCCAGTTATATGTTTGTTGATTCTGCTTTTCTCTACCTTCTGTTTCTTTCATTCTCCTTATTTATTTATTTTTTTGTGTGTGAGGAAGATTGGCCCTGGGCTAACATCCGTGCCCATCTTCCTCTACTTTATATGGGACGCCACCACAGCATGGCTTGACAAGTGGTGCGTCGGTGCGCGCTTGGGATTCGAACCTGTGAACCCCAGGCCGCCGCAGCGGAGTGTGTGCACTTACCCGCTTGTGCCACTGGGCCAGCCCCATCTTTCATTCTCTTTAATCATTTTAACCTCTTTCTTTGTTTCCATTTCATTTCCTTTTCTCATTTCAGTCCTCCTCCCTTTCTATGCTTTCCAAGGTGCCTGTTTTTGTTTGTGTTCCTTCCCGTTTTGTCTTCATTTCTCTGGACTTTTCCCTCCTTTCCTGAGTCCTGCCGGCTCCCATGCATCACCTCCTGTTGTCTCACCGTCTCTTCCTCGAGTTCTACTTTGTGGTCTTCCTTCATAGAGGCAGTTGCTTCATTTAACCTTTTTTATGGATGAAAAATGGTCACTTTTCTCAATAACAATAATTCCCATGATGAATGTTTGAGGGTCAAAGGCTCCCTCCTCTGCTTTACAGAAACAGAGAGCCTCCTGCACACGCGGCTCGTCTTTGTGATTCTGCTTGTAGTCGCTCCTCCTCTGCTTCTCTGAACCACAGAAGCCAGCCCCCATCACCCCCGCCCCCAGGTGCTCTGTTGCGCTTAAGGGTGAGTCCCTGACCTTCAGGAAGTGATCTTCTGCCTGAGCTGTTTGAGATCTGCCCCTGAGGAACACCCCCCACACACTACTTTCCATGCTTGCTCTCTTCACTTCCTCCTTCATCGGCTTCTGCCCAGTCTCTGCTGCTTTTGGAAGCCCTGACGTGTATTTTGGTATCTGCAAATTAATCTTCCTCCTGATCTCACTGAAAATGAAGTTTGAGTTTTTGTTCCTTTTCCCTGTTGCTTCTGAGCTCATACCAGAAAGTATCACTTCTTCTCATTTTAAGGCAGTGAAAAACCTTATTAGCTAATATCCCTGTTCAGAAGAGAACAATTACTAAAATCGTCAAAGAAATGTTTTTGGTCATGTTAGCTTGAGGAAAATAAATCAGGGCCTCAGCCCAGAGGTCCTTATAGAAGAGATATGATAGCCAAGCTCTGTGCTAGAAACTTACAAAAAACCGTCTTGCAGGAAGTAGAGGAAGCACAGAATTCCTGGTCCTAGTCAAGAGGGAGCTTGCGTTGTGCCCGTCATGCCTACATCCCACCCCTGGAGATCTGGGAGAGGGAGGCCAGAGGGCAGTTATATGAGTCCACAGATTACCAGCAGCATATATGTTAGTGTGAGCACGAAATGTAATTATATACCTATTTGTAGGTTTAAATACGATCTTGTACTGACTAAAGGCGTGAGTGGAACCCAGGTTGTACTTGAGAGATGCATGCCAAATTTTATCATGTGCACGTATGGAAATTTACATTAACTTATAGAAACTAATAATCAATAGATTGGGCATCTAACCTTAAACAGTTTATTAGCATTAATAATGGAAATGTCACTAGGACTTTGTGTAATTATTTTGCTCATAGGCTGTAGATAAAACTGCTTTCTCAGGGGGTCTGATGTTAGGTCTTGGGAATAATCAGGTCATCATCTTTATCAATAAAAGCATTGATTTCTATATACAGAATTCCAAAAAAGTATTGAAGACACCTTACAGAAATAGAGCATAAAGAAATTATAGTAGGGGCCAGCCTGGTGGCACAAGCGGTTAAGTGCGCGCGCTCTGCTGCGGTGGCCCGGGGTTCACGGGTTCAGATCCCGGGTGCGGACCGACACACCCCTTGTCAAGCCATGCTGTGGTGGCGCCTCATATAAAGTAGAGGAAGATGGGCACGGATGTTAGCCCAGGACCAATCTTCCTCAGCAAAAAGAGGAGGATTGGCATCGGATGTTAGCTCAGGGCTCATCTTCCTCACACACACAAAAAAAGAAATTATCTTAAAAAAGAAAGGAGGAAAAAAATGAAACGAAAGAACATAAATTGCATGCTGTAAAAACATCCTTTGTTTTTGCTCTGAGCTTTTGCCTCTGAGCTTCCCAGCAGGCAAGGCAAAGAGGGAGCCGCAATCAGGGGCATGAGGCAGACACAAATCACTCAGAAGACTGGCTCTTTCTGGTATTTCGGTCAGAGGGAAGTTTCCTCTTCTGGCTCATCAGAAGGACATTGTGTGGTATAAACAATGTCGTCAATAACTTCCTGGCAGCGTTAATGTTCTTGACAGCCGTTAATTTCTAATGACACTTCTTAGAATGTTCTCATTGTCAGCCAGAGCCATCAAACCAACACCATTCAGTGGAAATAGTTCTGCTGGAGCCAGAACAGTGTGATCCAGGCTCACGGTTCCCTGCTGTTCTGACTGAATCCTAGGGCAGATGTTAGAGTCTCTCTTCTAAGGAGGGGATGCATATTCTTCCAACCATCCTCCCTAATGATATCTTTTGCCCAGATGTTTGATAAGTTTTGGGCAGTAGAAAGTTTGACAGGGTTCTGGAAGGTAGATATTTTATATTGCCATTGGGAGAGCTATCTGTAGACTCCCACAGCAGATAAGTTTGAGGGCTCTTTTAACTGTCCTCTTACTTGTTTCCAGTCATCTGTGTAGACACCTGGAGTCCTTGTTGCAGGGGTGCTGTCACATTCCCTGTGTCTTACTTACATGGCAACTGAGAAAATTATAAACACCAGATACATTTCAATGCACAAGATTGAACTCCTTTGAAAGGAGACTCAGTTTTAGGGAAATTTCTGTGATACCAATAAAAAACTCATTCATTCATTCATTCATCAGATTTAACTGAGTGCCTACTAAGCATCAGGCACCATGGGGAGTGTTGGGGGTCATTGTGTACCCTGTTGCTTTCCTCTGTTAGGATTTTCAGATTCCCACCTGACCTCATTTCCCAGTGGAGAAATTGGTGGAGACATAGAACCCACATCTTTAAGACCTAGAAATTCTGGGTGATTGGGGCCGGCCCCGTGGCTTAGCATTTGAGTGCACGCGCTCCGCTGCTGGTGGCCTGGGTTTGGATCCCGGGCGTGCAGCGACCCACCGCTTCTCTGGCCATGCTGAGGCCGCGTCCCACATACAGCAACTAGCAGGGTGTGCAGCTATGACACACAGCTATCTACTGGGGCTTTGGGGAAAAAAAGGAGGAGAATTGGCAATAGGTGTTAGCTCAGAGCCGGTCTTCCTCAGCAAAAAGAGGAGGATTGGCATGGATGTTAGCTCAGGGCTGAGCTTCCTCACAAAAAAAAAAAGAAATTCTGGGTGATTACCACAAAGGTCTGAGGCCTGGCAACGAGACAACCAGTTAGAAGGAAATAAACCTGGTTTTTCAAAGTTTTGAAGGTTCTCTAGCCTCTTTATTTTCGCTAGAACCTTAATTTTTAAAAAATTTTTCCTTTTCTCATCATTACAGGGAATTGAGTATAAATTGTACATTTTTGTTCATTATTTCAGATTTTGAGATCCAGAGTGAAAATGGAGAGAACTCTAACCAAGGCATATTTGAGGATGTGGAATCACATGAGATCTTCTCAGAAATGCCTGAAGGGGAGGGCATTCAGCAGTCTGACTGGGAAAGTGACTTTGAGAGAGACTGTGGCTCCAGGGGGCCCCAGGGAGAGGCCCCAGGTGAGGACCATGGGGAGGCGCCACAGCAGGGCAGGGAAGTCGGACAGCTCATAGGCCTTCAGGGCACCTACCTGGGTGAGAAGCCCTATGAATGTCCCCAGTGTGGGAAAACCTTCAGCCGGAAATCCCACCTAATCACACATGAGCGGACCCACACGGGAGAGAAGTACTACAAATGTGAAGAATGTGGAAAAAGCTTTAGTGATGGTTCAAACTTTAGTAGACACCAAACTACTCACACCGGGGAGAAACCTTATAAATGCAGGGATTGTGGGAAAAGCTTTAGCCGGAGCGCAAACCTCATAACCCACCAGAGAATCCACACGGGAGAGAAACCCTTTCAATGTGCCGAGTGTGGCAAGAGTTTCAGCAGGAGCCCTAATCTCATCGCTCATCAGCGAACCCACACGGGAGAGAAACCGTACTCGTGCCCTGAGTGTGGAAAGAGCTTCGGCAACCGGTCCAGCCTTAATACACATCAGGGAATCCACACTGGAGAAAAGCCCTACGAATGTAAAGAATGTGGCGAAAGCTTTAGTTACAACTCCAACCTAATCAGGCACCAGAGGATCCACACCGGAGAGAAACCATACAAGTGTCCAGACTGTGGGCAGAGGTTCAGTCAGAGCTCAGCCCTCATCACCCACCGGAGAACTCACACGGGAGAGAAGCCTTATCAGTGCAGCGAGTGCGGGAAGAGCTTCAGTCGCAGCTCCAACCTGGCCACACACCGCAGAACCCACATGGTGGAGAAGCCCTACAAATGTGGGGAGTGTGGAAAGAGCTTCAGCCAGAGCTCCAGCCTGATTGCACACCAGGGCATGCACACGGGCGAGAAACCCTACGAGTGCCTGACGTGTGGGGAGAGCTTCAGCTGGAGCTCCAACCTCATCAAGCACCAGAGGATCCACACGGGAGAGAAACCCTACAAATGCGGTGAATGTGGGAAATGCTTCAGCCAGCGCTCCCAGCTGGTGGTGCACCAGAGGACCCACACGGGCGAGAAGCCCTATAAATGCCTCATGTGCGGTAAAAGCTTCAGCCGGGGCTCCATTCTGGTCATGCACCAGCGAGCCCACCTGGGAGACAAGCCCTACAGGTGTCCCGAATGTGGGAAAGGCTTTAGCTGGAATTCAGTTCTTATTATACATCAGCGAATCCACACAGGGGAGAAGCCCTACAAATGCCCTGAGTGTGGCAAAGGCTTCAGCAATAGCTCCAATTTTATTACACATCAGAGAACTCACATGAAAGAGAAACTTTATTGACATGGCAGAGAGCCAAAGTGAGGGGACTGGCCCAGGAGAGGAAATTGTCACACTGCCCCAAACAGGAACGTCTCTTTAGAAGAGCTGTTCTTCCTAAATGCTCTTTGGGGATTTTTGCCAGAATCTTACCCCTGCTCATCCTCATTTCTAGGATACCATCATCTTAGTGGTTGGAGTCAAACCCCAAGAACAGAGCGTAGGAATGGAAGGTTGGAAAGTTGGGTCTTTTTCTGTTAATGTCACAACTTGATTGGCTCCTTCTCTTCTGATCCTCTGTGCCTCAGTTTCCTCTTTGGTAGAACAAGGGGGAAGTGTTCTCCATGTGGAACAGAAGACAGCATGCCCATACCCCGGGCTGAGTCCTCAGAGAAATACAGGGAATCTATTGGTTGATCTGTTGGTTTTGCTGCCACCTGTTGGGCTGAGGTGCCTTCACCCTGCGCTGCTAGCATTCCAAGCCCCCTGCCCATGTCAGAACCGGCTCTTCCTGGCTTTGTGTCCTGGGCTTTGATTTCAGGTCAGGGTGGAGGGGCTTCTCCAATTGTGAGTCATCCACGTGAAGGTAAAGCCCTTTTCTATTTCTAGAAATTGTCAGGAACACCGAAACACGAGGGAGTGTGGCATGGAACCAGTGTCCCAGTAACCTTTCCAATTGATGGGAATTGAAACAGGGCCTGCCAGAAAAGGTATAAAGTGAGGAAATTCACGTATTTGCCTTTGTCTCTGCTTACTATCCTATGGTAAGTTGGCTGCCAGGGGAACACAGTTCTTGTGGGGTTTCATGTTTTGAGTGTGAAGAGAAGGCAGAGACCCCCAGCTGCATACCCCTTCTGTCTTATCAAGGGTGAAATGGTCCTGCACTCTGCAGGGTGGGCTTGTGTCCTTACCCCACAGATACACAGCCCCATAATCATCACTCTATGCACTTGTCATTCCCCTGTTCTTATATTTTTTATTTTATATATGCAGAGCTGGAATTCTGTCTGGTAGCTTTTGTATACTAAGGACGTGGTTTTTAAGGAAGCGTTGATTTTAGGACACATCTGTCCCCTGGAGAGATTTGGGCTTGAATCAGGAATTGTCCTACAGGTCTCACCCTTGATCTTGAGATGCTACCAGGGCTTTGTTCTTGGGTCCTTGGGCCTTGAAACAGTAAAGGCAGGGGGATGACAGCAGGTGAAGGGGTTTGTTATGAGGGAAGAGGAGAGTAGATAATTTTTATCTATTTTTATAGATGTGGGAAATGTGAAACCACCACCTCCTACGCATAGAGCCTGTCCTCAGAATGGACCTTGGTTCTTATAGGATGGATGCTCAATATTGCCTAATAAAGTAGAGTCCCATTCTTTTCCTGAGTCTGTCTTTTAACGTGTTAAAAACCTGAACTTGGCTGTAGCAAACTCACACCTCACTTCCCCTCCCCACCCCCCAACATCTTGCCCCAGGCTGAAAGTGGTCCAAGACCTTCAGGGAGTAAAAATCAGTTGCTTCAAGGAACACACCTTCTAGGTGATCCTAGACCTGTGTGCTTGATCAGTGCACACACCTTTCCATTGTCTTGTGCCAACTCTGCATCCAGTCTGTCACCCAAGACTTGGAGCAGCAGCTTTGGGTAAGGAGCCAGGTGGCCTCCCGTGGAGGCCATTGGGAATCACCTCTATCCAGAATCAACTAAATTCGACACGAGGAGGAGGTTTCCAACCTAGGTGGTGACGGTTCTTTTTTTGTGTGTGTGAAGAAGATCAGCTGTGAGCTAACATCCGTGCTAATCCTCCTCTTTTTTGCTGAGGAAGACCGGCTCTGAGCTAGCATCTATTGCCAGTCCTCCTCCTTTTTTTCCCCTTTTCTCCCCAAAGTCCCAGTAGATAGTTGTATGTCATAGTTGCACATCCTTCTAGTTGCTGTATGTGGGACGTGGCCTCAGCATGGCTGGAGAAGCCGTGCGTCGGTGCGCACCCGGGATCCGAACCCGGGCCGCCAGCAGCGGAGCGCGCGCGCTTAACCGCTAAGCCAGGAGGCCGGCCCCCAGTGACGGTTCTTAAGCCAAACCATGTAGGCTGTGAAATCCTCATCATTAATCCCATTTCTTCACTTATTTGGCAAACATTTATTGAGGACTTCTGTCCCATCACTGTGCTAGGTGCCAGGGAAAGGTTGTGACAAGAAGTCCATTACCTGTCTTCATGAAGTTTTCCTAGGAGAAAGATTCCCATCTGTCTGGGAAGATAGAAGAGCTTTCCTACCTGTAAGGGAGAGCGGATAGGATGGTTTCTCAGGTGACATTAAGTTCTGGAATTTGAATTGTAGAAGATATTGGATCTGTCTTCTCTTTAAGTCTCAACTTGAGAAAAGAGTTGATATTAAGCTTTTGAAACTTAACTTTCTTTTTTTACTCCTCCCTACTTAGTAGAAACACAAAATATCCTGGAAAACAGGAAACAAGATTAGCTGGAATTGCAGAATTAGCCTGGAACCAGGTTGGGAGAATGACAGATGTGGTTCTAGAAAGGCTGAGAGTCCATCACTTCCTGTCCTGCTTTGCCCTTAGTGTGGGTCTGCAGAGACAAGAGGGGTCAGTATACAGTGACCGTCACATGGCTCTGTGTTGGATGGAAGGACGTGGCCTTCTTACCCTAAAAACATCAAGAAGTCCCAGTCCCCTCAGCAGATCTACTTCTGCCACATCTTTACTGGCACCTCAGTTATGCCTGTGCCTCTGTAACAAAGATTATTTCCCCTTAAATGGACATGGACTTAGGGACTGAGTTTTTGCTACCAATTTGTTTCTAAGTTCATGGGAACAGCCTTGGGACAATTAAAAACCTACAATAAATGGTAAAAAGAAAAAAGCAATTGCTTTACCCTCACTTGGCCCCCAAGCCTCCTTAGCAAGTCTTTTATGTGAGTTGGTCACTTCCCTTTCCCAGTTCCCACAATGGCTGCCGTGTACCCTTTGGCCCCTCTTCTCAGACCCATGCCAACTCCCAGGCTCGGCTCACCTCCGAGAACCTTTAACCTGTCAGGTGTAGCCTCCCCCAGGCCTATAAACTTCTCTAGATTGTGCCCCCTCACTTCCTCGCCTCGGGCTCAGCCTAGAGATGTGCTTTCCGTGTAACTGATGTGTCACTACCTGGAGTTGAGCCTCCGCTTCACTCCAGGGTCAGGACCTTGTTCCACCAGCTGTTTCCTCTCTTGATCTCCAGACTATCCCTCTCTACCGGCTTCTTCCTGCAGCCTACTCACAAGCTGCAGTTCCTGCAGCCTCAACCTTGGCATGTCCAGAACTCAGCTATGCCACCTGCCTCCCTTGACCGGGATGCTGGTCACACAGCTGTATTTCCTTGTGCCTCCTCGTGAGGAGCACTGCCGTCCACTGGGGTTCACACAACCCAGAAACCTGGAGTCATCCAAGATTCCTTCCTTCTTCGCATCCCTCAGAGCCATTCGGGAATGGTTTGGCGTAGTTCAAACCCTTGCCTGACCACCTTGATAGCCCCCTTACTGGGACCGCAGCCCTCTCCAGCCCTGCCTCCTGCTGCTCCATCCTCCATGCTGTCACCAGAGTGAGCATTCCAAGACACACAGCTGAGCCTGTCACCACCCAGCTTAAACCCCTTGGGGCTCCCCATCATCTACAGAAAGGCCGTGCTCCTTGGAGGGCAGATGAGGCCTTCCAAATAGGGCCTCTGTGGAACCTGGTCACCACACCTCTGTGCTCCTGCCCATCCTTGCCCCCTGGCAACTCCCCCTGAATGTGCCCCGCGGGGCCTCTCCTCATCCCCCTGCTCACTCTGCTCCCTTTCGGGAATGCTGGGCTTCCCTTTCTGCCTAGGGCACACTGCACATCTTTCAAGACTCAGCCTGGGTACCACCTCCTCCATGAGGCCTTCCCTGCACTTCTCTGGCAGACTTGACCCTGCTGCCGCACCCCTGTACTCTCCGGCCTCAGTGCCTGTCACTCTCATTGCATTGACCTGTTACACATCTGTCTCCCCTGCAGATTCTGCCCCCTTCCTCTTCTATTTTTCATGTTCACACCCATACTGAGGCTCCAGACTCTATCTCCAGTACCCAACTCAGGTCCTGGCACATGATGGGAACTCAGTAAATATATTTGCCCATTGGGTCTCTTCGTGGAGGTATATATAAATGCAAGAGGCAGATGGAACCCAGAATTCTGACCTGGAAAATGGATTAGGTCTCCTACACTTTCCTTTGGTAAGATGATAAATGTAAGTTAGTTTTAACTTCAGTATTCTCTCAAGTTACCATTTATTGGTATTGGTGACAATCCCAATGGAGACAAAGTGGAAGACGTTTATAAAAACCAACCAACCAGTATCCTAATGAAACAACTTATATTTTTGAAGTGTCACAGTGAAAAACCAGGCACCTTCTTTAATGTAGCTGAGTCTGTTGTCCACAATCTGCTTCTCTTCTGTCTGGGCAAGCGGTGAAACTTGGGAGACTTTGTCTTACTCTTACTCTTTAATCCCAGGGTATTCATATAACTAAATCCTGAGACAGTTCCCCTTGTTTTAACCTTTTTATTGAAATATAACACATCAGTGCACCAAAGTGTATTTGAATTTTTACAAACTGAACACACCTGTGTAACTGGCATCCAGATCAAGAATCAACTTAGCAACACCCAGACGTTCCCCCCAGAGCCCCCCCCAGTGAGTACTTTGTCTCCTCCCGGCCCTGTTCTGAAGTTTGGGATGGAGTGGATGGAGTGTTGGGAGCAGGACAGACCTGGTTCTAGACAGACTTGTGCCACCAACTACACACCCTCACTTTTATTAGAGATTTTACAATTTGAGGCAGGTCATAATGTTACTTCCTCTTTTTTTCCTGCATTTTCCTTCCCTTTGGATTGCATTTATAGTTTACAATGAGCCATAATGGCTTATAGTAACACAGTGTACGGAGCAGTTACTATGCACAGGCACTATGCCAAGCTCTCTACATGTGGACCTCAATCTTGACAATCCTGTGAGGTAGGGGAGTGTCCCCACGTCACAGCTGAGGAGGTGGGAGATCAGAAGAGAGGTTCAGTAAGTACCTTGCCGGCACCTGTGGCTTAACCCCTTCACTCCTGAAGTCAGTTCACTCCACTGCATTGTTAAAGCCGTGGGAAACTCCTAAGGAACAAATGGAGAAAACAACAAAACATTAAAATAAAAACGATATATTGGCTACTAGTGTTAGTCTTCTCCCTGGCTAGTATCAAGATGGTCCACAACTGTAACTGGTCCTTCCTTGCATGTGACCGGCCGTCACTCTTCCAGCCCTTCATTCCCGATGGAGGTCCTGTCTCATAACCAGGGAGTTCAGGGGCCCAGTATGCTGGGCCTGCTGCCCCCTCAGTCTCTCAGACAGCCCTGGAGTTTTTCTTTTTTTTTTTTTTTTAATGTCTTTATTTTTTGTGTGTGTGCGGAAGATTGGCCCTGAGCTAACATCTGCCACTCCTCTTTTTGGCTGAGGAAGACTGGCCCTGGGCTAACATCCATGCTCATCTTCCTCCACTTTATATGGGACACCACCACAGCATGGCTTGACAAGCGGTGCGTCGGTGCGCGCCCGGGATCCAAACCCGCAAACCCCGGGCGGCCTCAGCGGAGCACACGCACTTAACTGCTTGCGCCACTGGGCCGGCCCCAGCCCTGGAGTTTTTCAAATGCAGGGCTGTTTTAACCTCCCTGCTGCCTGGCCCTGTTAAGCTATTTCACATCTCTGGACAGAATGTTAGAGTCTTTCCTTTTATTTACCCTCCTAACTTGATAGCCCAAGTCCATAGAGGAAG